AAATTTTGCCGAAAAACGCGTTTTGAAGCTAGTCGAGCGGTTTTTTGGTCACTGTCGTGCTAAGAAGAGCGAAACCTAACCATAAAGCTATTTACAGGTCGTACACTTCGCGGCCTTCTGATCCAGATTTTTTTATCTTTTCTTATATTTCATTTAGTGAAATCTATTTTCTTTCCCATACCTAAAGCCCTGAAAATAGTTACCCTTTCGGGCGGGGCCTTGCCGTTTGGGCCATGATATGGTCCTTCTTGCGTTTTTGACCCAATAGCATTTACTGAAAAAGGCAAGGCCTGGTAAGACCCCTAGACTGCGAGCAGTTTCTCTTTTTCTTTAGATTTAGTGAGGGGATACCCCCCACGCGAGAGCGTCTCGCGCCTTCAGTCACGCGCGTGGTTATTTGCGTGCCTTGTGCGTTTCGCTCGACGGGCTAAGAAAAAAGAGAGACTGCTCTAGTCTATAAGACGCCTTACATGGTCTTAAAGTATTGCAAACGGAACGGAAGAAAACAGAAAAATATCGGACTTAATCGTTTAGACGTAGCGCTAGCGTGAAATGCCTGTCAGTGAAAAGTATGTCGGATATTCTATATTTCCGCTGACTGTATTATTTGGTAAAAAATGTTTCTGACAGACCATCGTACTAATGGAATTCTTCTGCACTACACTGTCTGGAAAATATTATAAAGACTCTCTGGAGTTTCAGCCCGAGCGCTGGCTGAGAGAAAACAAAGACGAAAATCACCCTTTTTCCAATCTTCCGTTCGGATTTGGAACCCGTATGTGCCTGGGTAAGTGAATTACGTTTGCTTAAAACATGTTGGTTTTGCCTTTCCAATTGCCTTACACTATAGTTATATTTTGTTATTTGCTTACTGATGTTTACGAGCTAGATACGCGCTCTCTGAATACAAGTTGAGAAGATAAGTACTAATTTAACTTACCGGAAAAATGTTTATTGTGAGAAAAAATTGGGATCAAGAATGAGATTTTTTTGGGGGAAAATAATTAAGAAAAGCCGCCTTGGTTGTGGGTGTTTCTATATTTTTCTTTCTCTTTTTCTATGGCATCTTTAAGGTATAATTTTAGTCTATTTCTCTGATTAGTATGTTTGTCCGTTAATCAATTCCTGATAAACTTGTTTTTTGCGTGTTTTGTGTTAGGGCGTCGTGTGGCTGAGTTGACATTGTACATTCTTGTCTGCAAGGTACGCGTTGCATGGTTTTGTTTGTGTTAATGTAAGGGTGGCCGATAAGCGCTATTTCAGAATGAGTTTTATCACCGTATTTTCTCAAATAGCTGACCGTGTGCTTATTTTAGGCTTCGACCAAAATAGGTGAAGGGATTTGGTGAATCAAAGTGGAGGCTTTTTACCTACCAGTCGTTTTTCTTCGACGAACGGAAACTTCACTTTTGCAGACCTTTGCAATGCGAGTGAAAAATAAAACCTCTGCAAGTACGTGAAGAGTATCGCGAATTTCAGGCTCTAGCCCCAAGGAGACTACACTGTACTACCGAATGGGTTTGTCAAATCAAAAACGTGAACTCACGTGGTCACATTCCTGAGCGTTTGGTAGGCCGAAGATGACAAAGATAGGCTAATTCGAAAATTGGTGTTCTCTGTCAACCAGAAATGAGAAATTTTCGTTCGTAGAAAATCAATCGATGAAAGTTCTTTCGGTTACAGCCTGTCAGCGCTATATTTTAACTCTGACAACTCTGATGTGCGAACAACGAAGCTAACAAAGAGAAAAGAATGTTATCGCTCGAGTTCACCTTTTTTTGTTTGACAACGTCACGTGATCTAAGTCGTCTGGCGCCAAAATCAACTTTCACTGGTATCTAGTGAATTCGCGGTCTACCCGTTTCAGTAGTATATGATAAGGGGATCGGCGAAAAGTATACCAAACAAACTGGCTCTATGTCGACAAATTGATTATTGTTGCCAGTGTAGTAAAGTTTGTTTCTTTTATATGCTTTATATACTACGTACAAAAGTTAGAGAAAAAAGAGTGTGGTATAAAAGGGAGGGGGACTCTGAGGAACTGGTTTCTTATTACGAAGAGTCGGGTATTGAGGGGAGGGGAACCCCATGGGGCTGGGTTCTTATTGCTAGGTGTGGGTATTAAGGGGAGGGGGACCCTGAGGGGCGGGGTTCTTATTGTGAGGAGTGGGGTATTAAGGGGACGGATGAAGATGAAGCTAATGACATAAAATCTCTGAATATTGAAAGAGCACAGCATTTTTAGTTATCTCAGGAAATTTGAGCCCGATATACCGAATACTTTCGGACAAATTCTCTTTGAGAAATCCCAAACTTTACAAAGAATGTGCGAGCTCATTAACGTTTTTGCCACACAGCAGTTTCGCAATTATTTTGATCGCTGCTATTTCCTTGTAACTGCCTGCAAAGAGCTGAAACTTGCAAAAACTGCTCACTTTACCCAGCTCTTTCAACTTTTGAAACAAATTTGTATCCATGGCAACGTCTTCTATGGGTTTACTCGTATGCTAATGAGCAAGGATGTAAAGGGTGGCGTCAGCTAGGATTCGCCGATATAACGATCGTTTTCAAACGCTTTTCTTTTTTCTGAAATTCTATAATTTTTTCTCTTGCAGTTGCTTCAACGATTTCGTTTAGAGTATCACCACGAACCATTGGAGTCATACCAAAAATTGTTTGCTGTTCCAGATAGACCAGTCAAGATCAAATTTGTCGACCGGCTGTGAAAAGCATATATAATTTACTTATAATCATACACATCATTTATTTTTTGCTTAGCTCTACCCATGAACACTGTATATGTAGTTTGTGAAGTGTGAGGTCGTTTTAAGACAAAGTCCTACATATATCCAAACACATCTATTCTCTGCAATCATTTATAAATAAACACATTTCACGATTTCTTTAAAGACCTTTGTTCTTTATTATCTAATGGTGAGACACTTTCCCTCGTGAAAGGAATTTTAAAAACTGAAAAGAACAAAATAAACGATCCTTAACCCAAAAGTTATGCTAATGAAAAAATCAGTGAAAAGAAAAATTCATGTCATACCTACAAGGACACAGAGAGAAATAGATGGGGAATTGTTTGTCTTGATTGATAGTGTGAAGTATTAAGAGCGAAATTCGCGCGCGTGCTAATCGAAAAACTTCGCGGTGAAACTCAACTCGAGACTTCGTTGAAATGTCCACAGCGTTTCTTACTTTACCAAATGTCTATTAACTATATTAGAATAGCCTGCGTAGCAAGCATTTCCGCGCGAGTCCACCGTTTTTTTTTTTTCGCTTCCGCTCTAACTTTCGCGCAATAACTCGATTGGAAACGCTTGCTACGTAGGCTAATATTAGAATAGCGTTTCAAATCCAGCTGAAACTGAGCACCATTCACAGGGGTGTTCACTCTTAAAAAGGAAAAACAAGTTGTTGATTCTATTTTAAACAACAGCTCCTTCATTTTTCGCCTCGACGGCCTCCGCCCCGAAAAGGACCTGCAATAGCTCCAACAGGTGGTCGTTTTAGATTTTAGATTTTTTAGATCTGAATAACTCTTAGAAGCAAGAACAACGCACAAATTTTACTCCCTACCGGACGTCAAAAAATTTCAGGAAGGCCAGGTTTGTTTGTGTGTGTGTGCGCGGGGGTGGGAGGGGGCGGGGGGGGGGGGGGGGGAACAAGGCAACTGGGGAGACAAGGGGCCACGACCCCGGAGAGACAACTC